CCCGCGATGCCTTGCATAAGGGCCGGCATACAAAAGTTTTAAATAAATAAATAAATAAATAAATACAAGCATATAAATAGCCAACAAATGCAAATAATTTTAATGATCAACGGTAAGACACCCAAGACCCAAATTCAAAACTTTATTGTAAGGTGCTAAATGCCCAAGAATAGAGGATAAGAATAGCCAATTCTTATGCCCAAGAATAACCTGGCAGTGCTGGCACTGGGCAGACCTCACTGGGGTTATCATTGGCTGGGGGCACCTGTATGGGAACTGAGTTCTGCCTTGTGCCAGTAATAACCTAAATGGATCATAAGAACCTAAAGAGAGCCATGCTACACCAGACTGCCTGTGTTCCCCAGCGACTGGTGAGTATAAGCACCCCACCTCTGATATGGGGTTGGGTGGCCACCTTCTGTGTGAGCATCACGGAAGGTGCTGGCACACTCGCGTGACCAGAGCAGTGTGACCCTTTTCGGGAAGTTGCCACATGGCAGTTGCAAGAGATGACAGAGGGCTCCATCTGACATTTGTCCTTCGGTGGTTACAACAGCAAGGCATTGCTTGCCCGTGTGCAAATGCTTTCAGGGATCAGACATCACTTGACATCAACTCAGAACCATCTGGTGGAGGTGGCTTACCTGTGATTATCTCCGAGTCACTGGGAGATGACTTAGCACGTTATGAGATATGGCACAATCGGCAGGGGCCTCTGCAATGAATCAACCCTCTGTTGTCACGCAGCATGGATCAGGCAAGCCTTCCATTGTCATTTGTCACCAGGGCTTAGATGGGGAATATAGTCGTGATCAGAATGCCGTGATTGCCACAGCAACCAGCAAATTGAATGCGGAAGAAGTTTGCCATGAGAATGAATCTAGAGCAAACTCCAATTCTGGGAGTCTTCATCAACAAAAGAATGTGGAAAAACCCCAACAGCTCAGGCCTGCGTGATCAGTAACTTGGGGCCTTCCTTACATTCTGGACTAGAGTTCCATTATCCATAATCACTGGCCATTTTGCCAGGGCTGATGGGAACAGTAGTCCAAAATATCTGCAAGGCATCCAGTTCCCTATGTACAAAACAAGTGATCAAGAAAGCAGCAGCAGAAGCATAGGTGTCTGAGACACCTGAAGCAAGTTACCTGCATTTTTGTGCCGATTTTTAAGGCCTAGTAATATTAGGTTTCTAATAAAATCTTTGTTTTCCGTGTGTTAGGAACAGAAGGTGCTGCCTTAGGCCCGATATCACAGGAAGGGATCCTAAGAACATAAGCTAAGCCATGCTGGATCAGACCAAAGGTCTATACAGTTGAGCACTCCATACACAGGGTTGCCACAGGATCCCTCAAGCAGGATGGGTGCAAGACCACCTCCTCCTTCCCAAGCTCCTCAGCAACTGATGCATGCAGGCAGCCCACCTCTGGTGAACAAGGTAGCACATGGCCAGCAAGCCTAGAAGCCACTGATAGCCTTTTCTCTCATGAATCTGTCCAATCCCCTTTTAAACACTTGCAGATTCTTGTGGCAGCTGTCAGTCTCCTTACCGATGGCCAGAATGGATACTTGGACCCGAATGGAAGACTGAATTGTCTTGAACCCCAGCATTTTATGGGTGAGATCACGTAGGCCCCCGGCAGTGACTTACGACAGCATGCTACCGGGAAGTGGTCCTCACCACCAACTACAAAATCACAGCCCATGTACAGACATTTTTATAACCTTCTAGTAACGGACAGAGTATTCGGTTTCCAGATAATGTTAACATAATAGCATATTGATGCCTTCATACACAAAACAATACGCTAAACTGCCCAGAAATGCCTGTGACAATAGAATAGAAAATTTCCCTGACTGAGCCTGATTGACAAGTCAATTCAGTGAATTCCTGAATTCGGATCAGTTTGGATCAGCCTCTGTGTCAGCTTAAACATGCAAATGTGTCTGATTGGGGAACCATTCAGAAACACTGTTTTGACAACTGCCTTGTGCAAGCACTTGCCTCTGTTGGGCTAGATGATTAAATCCATGCATTCAGAAAAAAATGGACTCCTTTTGTCTCCACTCTCTGCAGCTGAGGGGAAGGCTGGTATTTCCTCACTGATAGTGTTAGGCTACAGCAGCTTCTCTGTCTAGCTAAGAATTCCATCTTCTTAAGGGAACAGCAATGCTAAACAGTAACCTGGCTTGGAATTCTGCTGCTTTCAGAAAAAGGGGCACAGGTTTGATTTTATAACACAAAGGCACATATAAGCACCCTCTTTCTACCAGGATGTATCTGCATTTTCCCAACACAGCAAATTCCACAGTTCAGCTATATGCTGTGTGAAGCGGTCTTTCTTTTTATGGCTCTTATGTTCTTTGCCCCTTTAGTTCAGTATTACCTTCTCTGGCTAGCAGTAGCTCTCCAGGAACTGAAATGTCAAACATATTAGAGATACTAGGAACCAAATGTGGCACCTCCTGCCAGAAAAGTGTGTGCTCCATCACGGAACTATCTGCTGTCTCTCCACCTGGTATCCTCCAGAGTTCTTGGGCTACAACAACCAAGATTCCCAACCAGCTTGGTGGGGGAAATCTGGAACTTCTGTAAGAGAAAATTACAAAGAAATAGACAAACAACTTGGTCTTTCCTTCTTCATGTTGTAGCTTTAGTTCTTTAAGGCTGTAATCCTGTGCTTTTTTTAGACTGAAAAAAGTCCTACAACTGTAGCATGCTGGGAATTGTAGGTTTTCCTTTTTTTACTGACTAGGCATATACAGTATTGCACCTTAAACTGTGCATTTTCCCACAATTCTTTGTATGTCATGAAAGGAAGCCAAGATCAAGGTGCCTTTTAATGTGTTTGTTCCCATGCACATGAATTTAAACAGAATAGTGAATTTATTGATTGGAGAAAAGGCTCACAGTTAGTCAAGTAACATTAACCCATGCAGTTCTGTTTGGAAGTATAGGTGGTCATAGCTTTCAATGGGAGTAATGCATTCACACGTACGCATGTACAGCAGGGCTACACAACCCGTCAGCTCGCCACCTCCTTTCCCACCAAGGCACTGCGGCTACGCGTGGCAGTGGGCAAAGAATAATTTCCCTAGGTCCTCGGAGAAACGCATGTGTGTACACAGACCAGTATCTCACACAGCTCTCAGGAATGCAACTGGTGGATGCCAGAGGGGAGTATGAAGAAGGTCTCCAAGAGTTTGTGACTTCCGTTCTCAGCATTCTTTCTCACCAGCTATGCTGGAGGGGATTCTGGGAAAGCGCAGAATATTTGAGACCTACCTTCTGGCCTGTCTCTGGTGTAAAGGTCTGGAGCCCTGTCATCCCAGCAAATACAACTAGCTTGGGCAGCCTGTATTGGCCCTGACATAGCTAGTCATGGCTTGCTGGGCAGCAGCCACATAAAGAATGCTCCTGTTACCTGGAATGCCACTTTCCCCCATGAAATTGATTAGACACAGAAACATAGAAACAGAACGAGTCACAAGGGGCCTCCCGGGCCACCAAGTGTGACCTCCGGCACCAGCCGGCTCCGCTCACGACATGCCCACCATCAGGCATCAATAGTGCGGAGGGAGGCGCATCACCTGCCCACATAGCTGTCCATCAAGCTAGCATGTCAAGTCTTCCTTGCCAGGCTGGAAAGGCACAGCACTGCAGCTGGACGGGTGACCGCATGTGGAAGCAGAGGAGGGGGTTGGCTTGGAGGCCCTTTTTATAGGCCCTTTCTTCCATTCTGTGTGAACTGGAGCACTGAACAGCACAGTGTGTTATCTGCACCTCCGGAGGCACTGGATTCCAAATAGCTGGGGATGGTGGGAGTTGTCCAACACCTCTGGAGGATACCAGATGGGGAAAGCCGCCATGGTCTTGTGGACACCTCCATCGCCTTCCCGTGCACTCCCTTCTTCCCTTTTGTTCTCCAGGGTGGTCACATCCCATCCTTGCCCTCAGACTAGATTTCCCGAGGCCTCTCCTTCCCTTCCCTTCCCTTCCCTTCCCTTCCCTTCCCTTCCCTTCCCCAGAACCCCTTTCAGTTGGTACAAAGTTCATCTGGCGTTTGAGAATCCTAATGGCTTCGCCATGGGCTGGGCTGTGGGAGGATTTGGCCTCCTGAGAAATGTCAGGCCCAGAGACCTTGGAAGAAATGTTCCCTTTGTGACAGACTGGATTAGCCAGGGAAGGGAAAGGCATGGAAATCTGGAGCCACTGCTGGGTTTAGCCAGGCATTTGCTGGATCTTCTTCGTCACCTTCACGCTGGTGGCTGGCAGGTGGACCGTCAGGAAGGAAATGTTTGCCCTGTCATCCTCTCCCGTCCCATGTCCAAGCCCGAGGTCAAGGTTGGATGGGGGAGGTAGCCCCCAATTCCCTACCTCCTTATCATTTTGACATGCCTCTCATTGAAAAACAGCTTGTAATGCTGTCTCTTTCAAGGATTCTACAAACCGCATAGGCTGCCCCCGACCTTTTTGCCGCCCCCCCCCCTTTAGGCTCTCTATGGGCTTGCGGAGGTCTCTCCTAGGCGGATGGGGGGGGATCCCTGCTGCAATGCGGTTCTCTCTCTCCGCCCTTCCCTACTGACACCAGCTGTGGCTGGGAGCCAAACACACACACACACACACACAGAGCCCGGGCTAGGAGCGGCGCTGCAATGACGCAAGGCAAAAACAGAAAAGGCGACAAGGCAAGGGAAGGAGAGGAAAAGGCCAGGGAGGGAAAGCGAGGGGACTCCCCCGCGGCCTCTCTCCTCCCCTTCCTGCGCCCCGCTCCCGGCCGCAGGCCCTCGTGGCTCTGAGCGCGTGCAGAGTGCCGGCCGTCGCCCGCGGCGCGTGGGTCAGCGGCGCGCGCGCCTCACGTGCGACGCGCTCACCCGGCGCTGCTGCGTGCGGGGCGGACTGCGGGCGCCCTGCGGGCGGCGGCGGCGGCGTATTTCATTGCGCCGCGAGAGGCTCGCCGCACCCCCGCCTCCCGGAGCAGCATCTCAGTCGGCGCGGACGGCGCACTGAGCGAGAGAAGCAGCGCTCCCGCCGCCGAGGATGTGGCCCTCGCTCGCCTGCCTGTGCCTGGCGGCCGCGCTGGCCTTGCCCGGGCCGGTCCGGGGCGCGGTGGTGCGCCAGGCAGACGCGGCCGGCTTCGCCGACTGCGACGCCTTTTTCTACCAGAGGACGCCCCCCGATGGGCTCCGGCCGGGCGGGCCGCCCGCGCTGCAGAAGATCTGCCAGAAGTACAAGCAGGAGCCGCGCTTCGCCACCCTCTACAGCACGCAGGACAAGATCCCGCTGTACTCGGCTTTTCGGTGCGCAGGGGGCGCCGCCGCCGCCGCTCCCAGCGGGGTCGAGACGTGGCTGGTGGAACCGCAGGTGAGCCTTCGTGCCAGGCGGGTCGGGTTGGGCCGCGCAGGGGTGCGGGCGGGAAGCGCTTGTCTGGTCTGCGCCGCCCGGGCGCACGTGGAACTCACTCCTCCAAGGCGCTGACTTTCAAAGGGGGGTTCCTTAATTGATTCCTGCAGTTTAATGATCTGCTTTTCACCACGAACTTAACCCCGGAATGGGGTACCACAACAGGAATGTCCCAAGGCATTTTGCTGCACGAGACAGATCAACTACCCCGGTAACATCCACAGGCAGCCAAATGGTAGAAAAGTCTGTACAGCACCTCTCTCGCAGAAGAGGTTTAATAACAGTAAAGCAGTCATTTACTCCCCTTCTTTGGCACCCCATATTTGCTGCTCAAGCTTGCTCCCCCTGGCTGGCCCTGAAACATAAAATCTATTGGCATCAGCTGATAAAAATGTCAGAACAAGGGAGAACGCAGGTGCATTAAACAGCTTGAAGACTAACACAGTTATGCTGGGATTGGCATCTGTGGGTGTATCTGATGAAGTGGGCTGTAGTCCCCTAAATATTATGCCAGAATAAATGCGTTAGTCTAAGATGTCTTGTTTTTCCTACACTAGGCTAAGCTACCCTCTAGAAAGGGTTCCCCAAAAGTAAGTCTACTGGATGCAGCCACACCGTTTCCATCAAAAACTGGGTGGCCAAATTGGTCTTGGGTGGAAGCTGAAAGATTGGAAGATGCAACTGTCTTATGAGGAGGGAGGGAGTTTATCAGGCTTGCTGCCAGTAAGGAGAATGCCCTTTCTTTCTTGGGTCGCTGTGTGCAAGACTCCAGGCAAAGGTGGCAGGTCCAGTGGATGTTAATATTTAGGCAGTATGCAGAGGAGAAGGTGCTCCAGCAAGAAAGAGCAGTGCATTGGCCACTCCCAACCGCGATGCATTGGCCAGACGCAGCAGTGCTCTTCTGAGCACAGGAAACAGGAATGCAGAGTGGGTGTGGGAGAGACAGCCCCAGTTTTGATCTCCAAATCCTTTCATGCATCCTGCAACAGCAGAGCTCCGACTTGCCGCCGAATGTAGCCCTGGCAAGGCGTTGCAGCCGATCTTGGCTCTTTGTCAAGGGTTAGCTGTGCTGCGTGCGCAGTTGTTGCATTCTGGAATTACATGTTACAAACCAAACCAACACAAAACGAGGCCGCTAAACCAACTGGTGGCCCTTGGTCGAACTCTCCCTCTCCACTTTTGCATCTTCTCCCCTGATCTGTGGGATGTTTGGGACTCTGTGTATTCTGATGTCCAGATGTTGGCAGAGGCTGGTGCAATTCGACATACCTTGTGTTGGGTGTTGGGGAGCACAGTGACGTGGAAAGGAGTGTGGAGGGGAAGCTCTGTTACAAAGAGACTGACTTGCCTGGCAAGAGCTCCATGCTTCTTCGACTATAGTGATTCTGCATTTGCCATGTGGGTATTACATCCAGGGGATCACGATGATATCTCATTTTACACTTGGCACACTCCTGCAAGGTTGGGTTGACAGCGCTTATCCCAAGCCTCTCCAGAAAGCTTCATGAGCAGGGATTTGAACCCAGAGCTAAATCAGCTCTCTGCCCAGGCTGGGTACCACGTGGCTCTTTGCCTCAGAGCAGCTTCCCTGTGCTTTACCGCAGGTGTGTGGTTTGCTCATGGGTGCACCTGCATCACGCCCAGCCAGGGTCTCCAGTGCAGGTGAGCCTGGATCCTTGAGGCGGCACACCTGCCATTTACATGTCCTGAGTTTGGGGTGGGAAATGTCAGGGTCAAATCAGCTCGCCTGTTGCATTTTACCAGTATGGTGGTGCAGCTGTGGCTGGACCAGGGGGCCAAGGTTCAAGGCCCAGGGGGCCTTCAAGTGACTGCCTGAAAATGCCAAGTGCAGAAGCAAACTAATTTTTGCTCCTGTAGTCTTGATGAGGAGCTTAAAGTGAGTTTCAAATACAAAACAGCACATGCTCGGAGAGAGTTATTTAGTTTTTTAAAAACTATTTTGTTTTTACTAAACTTGCGATATATCAAGAATTTTTAAGCAGTTTTAAAGCATGTAACCGCTTGGAGGGGAGGAAGATCGGATGTTAGTTGGGTGTTTCACAACAGAAATTATGAGCACCATTTTCCAAAGGTACCAGAGCTATAGGGGTGCAATATATATACGTTTAGACAGAAAAATGTCCTACAATTCCCGGCATTCCCCAGACAGCCATATGAGATGCTGGGGCCCAAAGGATCCTTTCCTGTGTATCTCTTCGAAGGATTGAGCCCTAAGACAGGAAAGTCCAGGGTCTAAAATTCCTTACCTGCAGCACTGCACCAGGGTCAAGTTGCTGTCTTGCAGGGTAAGCCCCAGAACCACCTTTTGGTGTGCATTTTTAAAGCACGTACATCCAAAACAATTTAGCCAGTTGCTTTTTCAGCCCAGTCTGACTCACTGCACACTGTTATCGCTTGGCAGGATAAATTAAGCCTAAGTTCTTTAGCACACACTGTAGCAATAATTATAAGGGAAGAAAATGAAGCAGGAACCTGGAACCCTAGGAATGACCATAATTACCGTTGCCCACTTTGTTGTTGTTGCATAGGGGCAGGAGATCCACAGCTAATTCAAGCTTCTAAAATTGACTTAGAAAACCAAAAAAAGAAATAAGGACTAGATGGGAAATGATGGTAACACCCCCCTCATGCCTTGATTTAATAAAGGAGTCCCACATGCCCACAGTTCCATAAACATCTATTCGATGGTGCATGTAGAGTGACGTCTTCTAAACACCTGTGCAGAAGTGCTGCTGAGTTCAATGGGACTTAATCCCAGGAAAATAGCCATATGATTGTGCTGTTAATGGCAAACTATTCTGATTTCTTCTGGGATAGCTGTAGTCCACCATTTCAGATTTTTTTTCCACCCTACGGGCCGAGGTGAAGGAACAATGTTTGCCCCACCCTGGCAGTTCTACATACATGTACATCAAGAAATATTTTTTACAAGGGTTCATAAAGCTTATCACAAAAAGCCTCCTTTGGTCAAGGAGCCAGTCCACAGCGTCTCTTTTGTAGTGCAAAGGATGACAAAGCAAATAGGACAAGTTCTCAAGGAGGTAATACACATATGTCTAAGAAAGATATGGAAAAAAGACACTGAACTGGGACAGATTGTAACAGAAGCATTTGAAACTATTTTTCATCTTGAAATGATAGCTGATTAGCACATCCAAAACCTGACAAAATGGAAGCCTGAGAAAGCACTCAAGTGTGCATTTCAAAAATGTGGCCTTGTGCTAATTTGCAGTTTAGTATAATTTGTTGTTAAATTTATTTTTCAGTTTGTAACATTTTAGCACCAGATTAAGCTGCAGAGAAGTTGTTACACTTAGATCCTAGACAATTGTATCTGGGCTGTACCACTTGGTCCTGCAGGTAGAGGGCTGTCATAATCAAATGCTTTAGGGCTCTAGACCTCAGGATGTAATTTAAGTTTCCCAGCCACGACAAAAGCTTGGGAATGGGACTGTGAACACAATTTGGAAGCAAACGGCAAGCCATACTGTCCTGTTGGAATCAGAGTGGGGGTAGAAGCAGCAGAGGAGCAGTTTTAGTTTTGTGGCCCAATCCAAATATAGATACAGCTGGGTAAGGGTTGTTAGGACACTCACAATAGAGTAACCCTCATTTTTCTAAAATCCCGCAAGACTTCTGTACTTTTAACCCTTGCAAGTCAGGTAGCAAACAAACATCAGAAATACAGATTTTTTTTCTCTTGCTGCTCTCCTCTGCCACCAGGAGGAATAATTCCCCGGTTCGGTTTCTTCCTTTCTGGTTTTGCCTCTGGGCCAAATCGACGCTGGGCACCCAAACCTTTGTGGGAGGCCTCCTGTATAGCTTGAGGCTTCAGACCCTGAAACCCTGGTTCCTTCCAGATGCGCTGGGCTATGACTCCCTTGCTGGTTGGGGGACGCCTCGCGGCCTGAGTCCTCTGGAGAGCGCTGAGGCAGGGAAGGACAGCCACGAATGACAGCCTGGCAAGGCCTGCGGTGTGCCTGGAGATGTGCAGGCTGTCCCCAGGCTGGCTGTGGCACACTGGCTCTCTGGTCCGCGCTGACGCCTAATCCTAATCTCAAGAGAGGAGTGGTAAACACACAGACACTGGGGGATGAGGAGCTGCACTGGTGGCCTGGTCCATCGCAGGGGTGGGAAAAAGAAAGATCCGGATGCCTTTGTCTTCAGCTCCCAGCATTCCTGGCCACTGGCCGTGCTGGCAGGGGCTTCTGGGAGTTGAGGTCCAGCAATCCCTTCTGCCAACCCTTGCATGACGGTGTCATGCTCTGGCTTGGCTTGTGGCCCACTTGTCCCCAAACATTGGCCATCGCCAGTTGATGCAGCATTTGCTGTTGGTGAGATCCTTTCCTTGTGTACATCAGAAGCTGCTGATGCTGCATCAGCCCATGGGCCCATCTTTCTTCAGAACATTTAGTTGCTCAAAGGTTCTCAGGAGGAATCTTATTCTGGTGTGGAACCCATTTTTTTTTTAGAGTCCTCAGTTCTGTTTATATATGTACATGGATCTGTATGAAATACACAATTTTCTAACAACTATAAAGCTTCAGCAAAATTGGAGCAAATATCCAAATAAGTATTTATTTGAAGGTAGTGTCTAATATGCTGCCCATACATATATGGAAAATGTTGTACAGTTCTCAGCCCATATGTTTAGAAGACTTTTTTTTTTGCTGTATTGCACCACCCTTATTAAAGAGATGCTTCAGTGTCCAACAAATATGGAACAAAACTTCTGGCCAAACATGCCACAGTTCCATGTGTTATGATCCAAAGCAGTAACTCATTAATGAGGTGTTTTATGATGGTTTCACAGCAGCATCTCAAATTCCCAAATGTTCCCATGGGTCTCCTGCTTTATTCTATCGCAGCCCTCCTGCTACTTCCAGACCAGGGGAATGAGCCAAAGACCTTCTGAATGCAGAGAACATGCTGCAGTGCTG